TTCCACAGTCAGCTGCACACCACCAGCTGCACAGAGGGAGCTGTGTGTTCCACAGTCAGCTGCACACCACCAGCTGCACAGAGGGAGCTGTGTGTTCCACAGTCAGCTGCACACCACCAGCTGCACAGAGGGAGCTGTGTGTTCCACAGTCCAGACTGCACAGCCACCAGCTGCACAGAGGGAGCTGTGTGTTCCACAGTCAGCTGCACACCACCAGCTCACAGAGGGAGCTGTGTGTTCCACAGTCAGCTGCACACCACCAGCTGCACAGAGGGAGCTGTGTGTTCCACAGTCAGTGCACACCACCAGCTGCACAGAGGGAGCTGTGTGTTCCACAGTCAGCTGCACACCACCAGCTGCACAGAGGGAGCTGTGTGTTCCACAGTCAGCTGCACACCACCAGCTGCACAGAGGGAGCTGTGTGTTCCACAGTCAGCTGCACACCACCAGCTCACAGAGGGAGCTGTGTGTTCCACAGTCAGCTGCACACCACCAGCTGCACAGAGGGAGCTGTGTGTTCCACAGTCAGCTGCACACCACCACTCACAGAGGGAGCTGTGTGTTCCACAGTCAGCTGCACACCCACCAGCTCACAGAGGGAGCTGTGTGTTCCACAGTCAGCTGCACACCACCAGCTCACAGAGGGAGCTGTGTGTTCCACAGTCAGCTGCACACCACGCTACAGAGGAGCTGTGTGTTCACAGTCCAAGCTCCAGGACTTGTTCCAATCACTGCACCAAGCTGCACGAGGGAGCTGTGTGTTCCACAGTCAGCTGCACAAGGAGCTGTGTGTTCCATCAGCTGCACACACCAGCTTCACAGAGGGAGCTGTGTGTTCACAGTCAGCTGCACACCACCACCTGCACAGAAGGAGCTGTGTGTTCCACAGTCAGCTGCACACCACCAGCTACACAGAGGGAGTTGTGTGTTCCACAGTCAGCTGCACACCACCAGCTGCACAGAGGGAGCTGTGTGTTCCACAGTCAGCTGCACACCACCTGCACAGAGGGAGCTGTGTGTTCCACAGTCAGCTGCACATCACCTGCACAGAGGGAGTTGTGTGTTCCACAGTCTGCAGCACACCACCAGCTGCACAGAGGGAGCTGTGTGTTCCACAGTCAGCTGCACACCACCAGCTGCACAGAGGGAGCGGTGTTCCACAGTCAGCTGCACACCACCAGCTGCACAGAGGGACTGTGTGTTCCACAGTCAGCTGCACACCACCAGCCGCACAGAGGGAGCCGTGTGTTCCACAGTCAGCTGCACACCACAAGCTGCACAGAGGGAGCCGTGTGTTCCACAGTCAGCTGCACACCACCAGCTGCACAGAGGGAGCTGTGTGTTCCACAGTCAGCTGCACACCACCAGCTGCACAGAGGGAGCTGTGTGTTCCACAGTCAGCTGCACACCACCAGCTGCACAGAGGGAGCTGTGTGTTCCACAGTCAGCTGCACACCACCAGCTGCACAGAGGGAGCTGTGTGTTCCACAGTCAGCTGCACACCACCAGCTGCACAGAGGGAGCTGTGTGTTCCACAGTCAGCTGCACACCACCAGCTGCACAGAGGGAGCTGTGTGTTCCACAGTCAGCTGCACACCACCAGCTGCACAGAGGGAGCTGTTTGTTCCACAGTCAGCTGCACACCACCAGCTACACAGAGGGAGCTGTGTGTTCCACAGTCAGTTGCACACCACCAGCTGCACAGAGGGAGCTGTGTGTTCCACAGTCAGCTGCACACCACCTGCACAGAGGGAGCTGTGTGTTCCACAGTCAGCTGCACACCACCAGCTGCACAGAGGGAGCTGTGTGTTCCACAGTCAGCTGCACACCACCAGCTGCACCGAGGGAACTGTGTGTTTCACAATCAGCTGCACACCACCAGCTTCACAGAGGGAGCTGTGTGTTCTACAGTCAGCTGCACACCACCACCTGCACAGAGGGAGCTGTGTGTTCCACAGTCAGCTGCACACCACCAGCTGCACAGAGGGAGCTGTGTGTTCCACAGTCAGCTGCACACCACCAGCTGCACAGAGGGAGCTGTGTGTTCCACAGTCAGCTGCACCACACTGCACAGAAGGAGCTGTGTGTTCCACAGTCAGCTGCACACCACCAGCTACACAGAGGGAGCTGTGTGTTCCACAGTCAGTTGCACACCACCAGCTGCACAGAGGGAGCTGTGTGTTCACAGCATGCACAAGGAGCTGTGTTCCAAGTCAGCTGCACACCACCAGCCTGCACAGAGGGAGCTGTGTGTTCCACAGTCAGCTGCACACCACCACTGCACAGAGGGAGCTGTGTGTTCCATAGTCAGCTGCACACCACCAGCTGCACAGAGGGAGCTGTGTGTTCCACAGTCAGCTGCACACCACCACCTGCACAGAGGGAGCTGTGTGTTCCACAGTCAGCTGCACATCACCTGCACAGAGGGAGCTGTGTGTTCCACAGTCAGCTGCACACCACCACTGCACAGAGGGAGCTGTGTGTTCCACAGTCAGCTGCACACCACCAGCTGCACAGAGGGAGCTGTGTGTTCCACAGTCAGCTGCACACCACCAGCTGCACAGAGGGAGCTGTGTGTTCCACAGTCAGCTGCACACCACCAGCCTGCACAGAGGGAGCTGTGTGTTCCACAGTCAGCTGCACACCACCAAGCTGCACAGAGGGAGCCGTGTGTTCCACAGTCAGCTGCACACCACCAGCTGCACAGAGGGAGCCGTGTGTTCCACAGTCAGCTGCACACCACCAGCTGCACAGAGGGAGCTGTGTGTTCCACAGTCAGCTGCACACCACCAGCTGCACAGAGGGAGCTGTGTGTTCCACAGTCAGCTGCACACCACCAGCTGCACAGAGGGAGCTGTGTGTTCCACAGTCAGCTGCACACCACCAGCTGCACAGAGGGAGCTGTGTGTTCCACAGTCAGCTGCACACCACCAGCTGCACAGAGGGAGCTGTGTGTTCCACAGTCAGCTGCACACCACCAGCTGCACAGAGGGAGCTGTGTGTTCCACAGTCAGCTGCACACCACCAGCTGCACAGAGGGAGCTGTGTGTTCCACAGTCAGCTGCACACCACCAGCTGCACAGAGGGAGCTGTGTGTTCCACAGTCAGTGCACACCACCAGCTGCACAGAGGGAGCTGTGTGTTCCACAGTCAGCTGCACACCACCAGCTGCACAGAGGAGCTGTGTGTTCCACAGTCAGCTGCAACCACAGCTGCACAGAGGGAGCTGTTGTTCCACAGTCAGCTGCACACCACCAGCTGCACAGAGGGAGCTGTGTGTTCCACAGTCAGCTGCACACCACCACTGCACAGAGGGAGCTGTGTGTTCCACGTCAGCTGCACACCACCAGCTGCACAGAGGGAACTGTTGTTTCCACAGTCAGCTGCACACCACCAGCTGCACAGAGGGAGCTGTGTGTTCACAGTCAGCTGACACCACCAGCTGCACAGAGGGAGCTGTGTGTCCACAGTCAGCTGCACACCACCAGCCAGAGGGAGCTGTGTGTTTCACAGTCAGCTGCACACCACCAGCTGCACAGAGGGAGCTGTGTGTTCCACAGTCAGCTGCACACAGGGAGCCGTGTGTTCCACAGTCAGCTGCACACCAGCTGCACAGAGGGAGCTGTGTTCACAGTCAGCTTCACACAGTCCACTGCAACAGGGAGCTGTGTGTTCCACAGTCAGCTGCACACCACCAGCTGCACAGAGGGAGCTGTGTGTTCCACAGTCAGCTGCACACCACCACCTGCACAGAGGGAGCTGTGTGTTCCACAGTCAGCTGCACACCACCAGCTGCACAGAGGGAGCTGTGTGTTCCACAGTCAGCTGCACACCACCTGCACAGAGGGAGCTGTGTGTTCCACAGTCAGCTGCACATCACCTGCACAGAGGGAGTTGTGTGTTCCACAGTCTGCAGCACACCACCAGCTGCACAGAGGGAGCTGTGTGTTCCACAGTCAGCTGCACACCACCAGCTGCACAGAGGGAGCCGCGTGTTCCACAGTCAGCTGCACACCACCAGCTGCACAGAGGGACTGTGTGTTCCACAGTCAGCTGCACACCACCAGCCGCACAGAGGGAGCCGTGTGTTCCACAGTCAGCTGCACACCACCAGCTCCACAGAGGGAGCTGTGTGTTCCACAGTCAGCTGCACACCACCAGCTGCACAGAGGGAGCTGTGCGTTCCACAGTCAGCTGCACACCACCAGCTGCACAAAGGTAGCTGTGTGTTCCACAGTCAGTTGCACATCACCACCTGCACAGAGGGAGCTGTGTGTTCCACAGTCAGCTGCACACCACCAGCTGCACAGAGGGAGCTGTATGCTCCACAGTCAGCTGCACACCACCAGTTGCACAGAGGGAGCCGTGTGTTCCACAGTCAGCTGCACAGAGGGAGCCGTGTGTTCCACAGTCAGCTGCACACCACCAGCTGCACAGAGGGAGCTGTGTGTTCCACAGTCAGCTGCACAGAGGGAGCTGTGTGTTCCACAGTCAGCTGCACACCACCAGCTGCACAGAGGGAGCTGTGTGTTCCACAGTCAGCTGCACACCACCAGCTGCACAGATACACACATGCCACTCTCACCAAACACACACACACACACACACACAGATACTCACACACACGTACAACAGGCCTAGTGTCTAATCGACATGTGCCTGGGACAAAATGCTAACTAACTGAGGGAGCGGGAGCACCAGTAAATAAGTGATTAGCTTTATACAAGGGGGTCAGCCAGTTTCAGTTCATCAGATCAAAGACTCACAACAACGATACGAAGCTACCCTTGTTGAACTCCTTTATCTATATTACAGTTATTCATGAGAGAGACCTGCACTTGTAAGGTTCATGAACCGCACGGAGAATGGGATGAGTTGGGATAATCTGTCTTGATCTCAGAAATAAATGTATCTTCAGCCGCTAACCTTAAGATCTTTTCAACAGCATCAAAACAACTGAGAATGCTCTAGTCTCGACAGCATCACTAGGAAGTATTTACCTTCGTCCGCAAGATCTCTAGCTTCAAGCTCATTCATGAGGAACATTAACACATCATCTAAGTCTCTCACTGCTTGATGTGTGTCTTCTGAATCTGGGCCTGTATTATGGCCCATGTTGTCAGTGTGCTCCGTATACACCTGTAAACAAAACAGACTTAGCACCCATAGACGTAGACAGGTAGGAAGATCATGTGACTATGTAACTACAGCATAATCAAGATCTCAGTTCAGGCTGACAATTGTTTTATATAAAACCCATCGTCTGTGACGTTTTATGACAGTAAACCTTCCTACGTAATCTGTATGTGTTGGGTAAACAGTTTTTTTGCTCTATGTATAATACCATATAGATCAAAACAACCACACTGTCGTAGTGTATTAAAATTTAATCAAATACTATATGAAAAACTAAGTAAAAAAACTGAAAGTAGCCAAATCTCACCTGAACGAAGTCAAAGCCTTCGTCAAATTTTTCCAACGCTCTTTGTATATTCTTTCTAAATATTTCCTTGCCAGGTATCTTGACGAATGGTTCACAGAAGTGTGTAAGAATGCCGTCGAAAGGAACATCACAGCGAGACCACAAGAACTGGGCAGTGCGAAGACCAGCTTTCTCTGCTGTTGTCCAGATGGGCTCCGAGGTCCACCACTGAACACCAAATACAAACATTACTATTACATGTATATAGACATTTTGAACTGGTAAGCGTCATATAACGCCTCTAATGGAAGACAGGGTGGCCTCAATTTCTCGTATTAAGAGCCCTTCATTAGCATCAAGAAACTCTATATTTAGGGACAACACGTGACATCCACATTATGTCCTGAGATGAGAGTATGAATGGTATAAACATGAAGACAATTACTTTAGTTAAATGGACACAGTTGCATTTAAATATTTAGGCTTCGTTGCACTCGCCGGGACCTTTGTCAAGTGTACATTAACATTAACAATGTACATTAACATGTGGACTACGACACCAGTCATCGTCTAGTGGGCGTCTCACTCTGTCCCTCCCATGAGCATCTGTGACTAATCCCGTCAAGGGAGGTTCCTTGACGCTGGTGAGGGGCTCCTGATCAAGGGAATTGGATTTGTGCTCCAGTTCCCTGAATTGAGCCTGAATACCTTCTATTCTCTCCCCCCTACTTGCGCTGTATAATCCTACGGGCTTAGCGCCCTCCCCATAATTATAATAATAATGTAAATGGCATAGAGATACCGACAAACTGTAAAAAAGAACACTTGTCTACAGTTCAGCGCCCTGAACTGTATGTACACATGTGACTGTTCCATCTAACACGCTGGTCGTTGTTGACAGGGGGCAGGATGGATTGAGGTCGGGCTCTGCCATACATCCACACTATCACCCAGTGAGTTGAGGTTGCAATGTTGCAGAAAATAGGAGGAGGTCCAAGCAAATACGATCGTATTTGCCTTAGCCTCCTCTCTTCTGTTCAACTGCCTCCCAGCATACATAAGGGGGATTACCAATAGACTCCCGGCTGTCGTCAAGCAGGCACTGGACAGGCACCTAAAGTCAGTACCCGACCAGCCGGGCTGTGGTTTGCGGACTGCATGCGGCCAGAAGTAACAGCCTGGCTGATCAGGCCTTGATCCACCATGAGGCTTGGTCACAGACCGGGCCGCGGGGGCGTTGACCCCCGGAACTCTCCAGGTATACTCCAGGTATACACTACAAACTCCTGATGTGTTGACTGCAACACAGAAGGCCTAGAGCTATCACTCAACACTCCCCCGTGGCTGTTTTGCAGTATATGTTAACCCTGTATACTTCGTGGTTTGTTCTTGCGCTATTCGTTCCTTTTCTCTGTGTCCCCTGACTCAACATTTCATCATGTAGTGTAATTTAATATTCGTCAAGAGAGAGTCCTGACAAGGGTCTTAATCTGTCGACGACCTGTACACATAATTATTTAATATAAGTCAGGTTAGGAAAAAATCATCAGGAAACAGGACAAGTGTTTCCTGACGCGGGTCTTGAGTCGTATGATGACCCGCCACTGGAACTTTTGGTCATCTGACCGAGACTTTCCACTGGCTTGCCCCTCCATATATATATATTATATGTTGCCTCATATTAATATACACTGAAGCTTGAGTAAACTCCCGGAGAGTGGAAAGTAACCTAAATAAACATTCAAACATTTCAGACATTACAAATCTCTGTTAACCTGAGTTACCAGAGACAAACTTACACTAAAAGAGACAAAGGTAATAATGAAATTACTAAACATCAGTTACACATTAATAGAAAATATTTTTTCACTGCAATTATTTCCCACCATATTAATATAATAATAATAATAATAATAATAATAATAATAATAATAATAATAATAATAATAATAATAATATCTTTATTTCTACAATTACATGTACAAGGTATATAAACCATAGCTGACATCAATGACCTACTACTATATAGAAAGCCGCTTGTTATGCTGAGCATTTCGGGCAAATTAGGTCAGTTTTGTCCCAGGATGCGACCCACACCAGTCCACTAACACCCAGGTACCCATTTTACTTATGGGTGAACAGGGACAGCAGGTGTCTTGTGGAAACACATCCGTACCGGAGATTCCATCTCCGGACCTCAGTGTGTAAGGCGAGTGCGTTAGCAATCGAGCTACGGGACACACATACGAACTAGAAAAGATTTTTGACCATTAATGAGAGAAACAGATTACATTTAGCATCCTGCTGCAGTATATATTGCTAACCAAACCATACCACGGGTGGGGTTAGAACCCGCGATCAGAGAGTCACTCTCTGATCACGGGTTCTAACCCACCACAAGTGGCCACAAGTGAAGCAAGATAAGATTTCGTTCGGATTTTTAACCCCGGAGGGTTAGCCACCCAGGATAACCCAAGAAAGTCAGTGCGTCATCGAGGACTGTCTAACTTATTTCCATTGGGGTCCTTAATCTTGTCCCCCAGGATGCGACCCACACCAGTCGACTAACACCCAGGTACCTATTTGCTGCTAGGTGAACAGGACAATAGGTGTAAGGAAACGTGTCAGAATTTCCACCCGCCGGGAATCGAACCCGGGCCCTCCGTGTGTGAAGCGGGAGTTTTAGCCACCAGACCACCGGGCCACGTGAAGTGAAGGTGACCACGAGTGAAGCAAGTGTAGTGAATGAAGGCTGCAGCTGTAAATAAGCAAGCGAGAACATGTGGGTAAACCTATGAGCACGTGTCCCCCGGTGACTCACCAACAAGTTACGTGGGTGTTACACACTCCTGTGAGTCTGGTGCTGTGGGACCACCTGACAGTGTCACCATGCAACACTCACTGGTCTTCTAGGTTTATTAACCCTCCAACACTACCAATAAAGTTTTTTTCTGATACAAACTAAGGAATTATTATTATAATAAAAACATTAAGCGCTAAACCCACAAGGGACATACAACGCTGCACAAACTAAAGGAGAAGCCCCCAGAAGAACACTAAGACTTTCTGTACAAACTGGCAGAGCAATAGAATACAATACGTAACAATACACAGCAATAGAATACAATACGTAGCAATAGAATACAATACGTAGCAACAGAATACAATACGTAGTGACGGGTTTGGCCTCACTAACCTAGTGAGATCAGACCCGTCACTTAAGGGAGGAGCACGGTATCCGACCTAGTAGCACAAGCTAGTTAGGTCCAACTCTCACGCATTATCTGCTAGAAAAATGACAGGATGGATAGTGAGAACCTTCAAAATTAGGGATGCCAAGCCCATGATGACACTCGTCAGGTCGCTTGTTCTATCTAGGCTGGAATACTGCTGCACACTAACAGCACTTTTCAAGGCAGGTGAAATTGCTGACCTAGAAAATGTACAGAGAACCTTCAAGGCACGCATAACTGCGATAAAACACCCCAATTACTGGGAACGTTTGAAATTCTAAACCTGTACTCCCTAGAACGCAGGCGGGAGAGATACATGATTATATACACCAGCATGTGTACGAATGGTATATAATACCGACAAGATGAGAGTAAGACACTTGTGCAACATCTGGGTATCTTTATTGTAGACGTTTCGCCATCCAGTGGCTTTATCAATACAAATTCTAGGACATAACTTGAAGACAGTAGAACTATGTACAGAAGATGAGGTAATCAGTCCCTCAACCTAGGAGTAGGTGCGAACAGCACCATAGTCGTGGAGATTCTGAAGCAGAAGAAAGAATCCTGGCGCTTATATAGTAACGTCAGGTGAAGCAGACGAGGGCAAATTCACTGGTAGGCGGGATTCCCCAGTGGAAGTAGGTCCTTCCCAAAGAGATGGGTTAGTTGTAGTGGTAGTTGTCGTAGTCGTGAAGGTTATGTACATGTCCTCAGAATTAAGATTCCATGATGTTGCAGTGTCTGACAAGTTGTGTACGAATGGTATATAATACCGACAAGATGAGATTAAGACACATGTGCAACATCTGGGTATCTTTATTGTAGACGTTTCGCCATCCAGTGGCTTTATCAATACAAATTCTAGGACATAACTTGAAGACAGTAGAACTATGTACAGAAGATGAGGTAATCAGTCCCTCAACCTAGGAGTAGGTGCGAACGCACCAGGATTCTTTCTTCTGCTTCAGAATCTCCACGACTATGGTGCTTTGCACCTACTCCTAGGTTGAGGGACTGATTACCTCATCTTCTGTACATAGTTCTACTGTCTTCAAGTTATGTCCTAGAATTTGTATGATAAAGCCACTGGATGGCGAAACGTCTACAATAAAGAACCCAGATGTTGCACAAGTGTCTTACTCTCATCTTATCGGTATAATTAGCGATTCCACAACCCTTGTCGACCTGCAACATCATGGAATCAATTCTGAGGACATGTACATAGACCTTCACGACTACGACTTACTACCACAAACACGCTTTGGGAAGGACCTACTTCCACTGGGAACCGCTCCAGTGAATGTGCCCCGTCTGCTTCACCCTGGACGTTCTACTATAAGCGCCAGGATTTTCTTCCTGATCGAATCTCCACGACTAAGTGCGTATCGCAACTCCTTAGTTGAGGACTGATTACCTCATCTTCTGTACATAGGATTAACTTGACTTCAAGTTATGGTTCTAATTTAATATGATAAGCCCATGGATTGGGAAACTTTAGTCAATTACACAAATTTCGATTCACAAATGGTCTTACTTAACACATATAATTAGGGGGATTACCAACAGACCCCTGGCTGTCTTCAAGCAGGCACTGGACAGGCACCTAGTCAGTACCTGACCAGCCGGGTTATGGGTGGTACGCTGGATTACGTGCGGCCAGCAGTAACAGCTTGGTTGATCAGGCCCTGATCCACAATGAGGCCTGGTCACAGACCGGGCCGCGTGGGCGCTGACCCCCGGAACTCTCTCCAGGTATACTCCAGGTAATCCGCGCAAATTATGCAAGATACCCAGTATATGTGAACAGTTTTCTATGTCACAAAATAACAGAAAACGACTATCAGAGGATAAACTGTGAACAAACCAGGTTTACTATAAAAATGAGACCCATGTAAATTTTTATTTAGGTTCATTACACAAATTTCGATTTCAACAATTATCTTAGGTAGTAGCTTAAGACAAATTAATCAAGGATATTCTAATAATACAATCATCGACTTATTAAACGACGTGAATACCAACATTGCTTACTAAGCGAATGAATGTCGACTTACTTCCCTGTACATCTTAGGTTCGTAATTCTTAAAACGTGTGTTGGGTGTCACTACGTTGACTTGTGATTGAGTATCTGAGAATGCAATAGTGTTAAGACCATAATAACAGTAATTTTGTTGTAAAGCATGACACAGTGCTTGTTAGACTGTCTCAAGAACCCCCCAATATAACTGTGTTCCTGCACCTTAATAAATACTTACTAATGGAAATAAGTCATTGACTTTTTTGGATTATCCTAGGTAATTTACACATTTGTCAACATGTATCATAATTTGTGTAACTGTATTTATGTGTAACAGAACCTGCATAAACATCGCTCGATCGCTAGCGTATTAAGTTCATACGCTGAGGTCCGGAGATCGAATCCCTAGTACCGCTGGAAGACATTAGAGCGGGTTTCCTTAAAATACCTGCTGTCCATGTTCACCCATCAGTATAATAGGTACCTGGGTGTTAGTGGACTGGTATGGGTCGCATCCTGGGACAAAGATGACCTACTTTGCCCGAAATGCTCAGCATAACAAGCGACTTTCTATATAATAGGTCATTGATGTCAGCTAGGACTGTATATACCTTGTACATGTAGAAATATATATTATTATTATTATTATTACCTAGTTCGTGTTTAACAATCGTAATGACCTCGTTGGTTGGTTGGATAATGGGAAATAAAGACTATCGACTTCACGAGGAATCGTTTTTGCATCCAACTTCCTAAAGTCGATCACCGGGCGCCAAGTACCGGTGATCATATGTAGGTACTAGGATCAAGGGCGCATGCCAGGGTGAATTACTAGGTGCGATAACACCATCTTCAAGCATCTTACTGATCAGTTCTTCTGCGACAGCAACTTGTAACTGAGGCATTCTGTACGCAGGTACGTAAATAGGTCTGGTACCAGGTACAAGTGGGATACGATGGGACAATGGGTTCAGTTTACCCATCTTCTCACTTAGTAAGGCAATGGCTCTACGACATTTGTTCAACAGGTACAACAAATGCTTCACCTCATCTGGGAAGTCAGTGGGAGCTAAGTGTTTCTCCTCTACTGGTGGAGTGGATGGATTTGGTGGAGTGGATTGACTCTCCCCGGTTGAAATAGCACCGACCCACTGGTCAGGTGACAACTCATCCTCTACATGAACAGGGTAAGGATAGGTGAACAATGGTGGTGTTTGCTCTGAGGCAAATACTGTGACTGGAAGTGTTAGCAAGGAAGAAATGGATCTTATTATCTCGTACATGTAATGATGGCTCGACAAACCCTTTACCTTGCAGTCATCGCAGAGACAGGTTCAGTACCCATCCTCTACATGAACAGGGTAAGGATAGGTGAACGATGGTGGTGTTTGCTCTGAGGCAAATACTGTGACTGGAAGTGTTAGCAAGGAAGAAATGGATCTTATTATCTCGTACGTGTAATGATGGCTCGACAAACAAACCCTTTACCTTGCAGTCATCGCAGAGACAGGTTCAGTACCCATCCTCTACATGAACAGGGTAAGGATAGGTGAACGATGGTGGTGTTTGCTCTGAGGCAAATACTGTGACTGGAAGTGTTAGCAAGGAAGAAATGGATCTTATTATCTCGTACATGTAATGATGGCTCGACAAACCCCTTTACCTTGCAGTCATCGCAGAGACAGGTTCAGTACCCAAGGTTGTTTGAGGTTCCTCTTGACACCTGAGGCAACTGTACACTATCTTGTGTGCATGAAGTTATAGGAATAGGATCACAGACATGAATGACAGGATTACTAGTGCCTGACCGTTTGGTTACGTTTCTAGAAAATGCACAAGTCTGTAAAGACTTAATCCAAACTTCATACTCTGCATCAGTATGACAGATCTCGGATCCAAGCTGGTATCCCCAAAATGGTAGGATCAAGTCGTCAATTCGGGCATACCAATATGTAAATCTCTCATGGAAGCAAATCCCAGTAGATCACCAAGGAAACTAATCTGGTCGACAACAACCAAGATTTTGGTGTTATATCCTAATGCCTCCCTTTCGGTAGGTAATTCATAATGGCCAAATTAACATACTTGTAGTGAGAATTAATACACTGGGAGGTGTACATTACATGTGGTGTGAACTTCCTCAATTTCTGACGATACCCTTCTATTATACCATAGTTAATCATTAGATCTGACCAGTTTCCACATTCCTTGAGAGAAGTAATCCACCTCTAAGGACGGCCACCCGGGCAGTACTAGCTCAGATTCAGTTTTCTTTTTATGACCTCTCCCCTTGGGTCAAATAAAGAGCGAGACAACTAGCAATCAGCCTTCCACACCCGTGTCCAACACTGCTACCAGCCATCTCCACAACCCCTCCTCCCCCACTCAGTTGGTAGCACTCTCTCGCTTCCTCACAGGTAATCTGGTACTTTGACTACCATTAATACGCCATATTAACATTACCACTTAACATTTATAATATATTAACAATTAAAGGAAAATTATAAACAAAATCCGCAAATATAATATTAAAGTTGTAGATGAATGGTTCAGAGAACCGACACGTTGATAAATTAGACATATGCAACTCTTGGGTATCTTTATTGAGGAAACGTTTCGCCACACAGAGGCGTTGTTTCCAGCCTCCTCAGATTATCTTATCTGTTCTCGAGAACTGCGTCAGTGTCATTAGTTCTTAGACGGACTCCAAGTAAGATGTCATTGGAGAGGGTTTAAGCCAAGATTCTATCTGGGGGAGGGCTTAGAGCACTTCAGAGACATCATATATCAGTACCCTGTTGATATCTTGACAGATCATGTTCCACTGATTCCTTTATTCCAGAATAAACAACCTACTGGAAGATTAGCCAGATGGTCCTTGACTATTCAAGAGCTCAACCCAACCTTTGAACTCTTACATGGCGAAGGAACTTAATGTAACCGAGTCACCAAACTGCTGCTCCAGAAACTTCCATTTCATGACCACCGTATTTTCTGGCATATAAGGCGCGCTTTTTTCCCCCACAAAACGTCATGGATAATCTTCCTGCGCCTTATATGCTTAAGGTCAGGGGTCAAGGGTAGACACTAGGTTACACTTCAGCAGTTGTAGACTAACGTAACGTTACAGCTGCTTGCAAACATAGTCTTATGTCTTGTATGCTTATGCGCCTTACATGCCGGAAAATTCGGTAATTTTCGTTGATCTTAATGTTTTTAGCACTGGAATAAAAAACATCACCTCTGCTCCTTCAGAATGTGTTTTTTTTTTTAGGCTGTCTTGAGGCTATTTAATTTAAAACCTGTAAACCCCACATTGTAACCATTATAGAGAATAAACTTGAATTAACTTTAAACAAAGTAATTTGATCCCACAGCATTATATATATCGTCTTACTGGTTGTTTGAACAACAAAATAATCAATAAATGCAAACGAAGGTTTTTACGTTTGTCATTCAGTATAAGGAAATGGATTTCTGTACTTGTTTATGGTGATGATATGAGAGAGAATCTTTAATTCAAAATAATTTGTCTCCAAATAAGATTTACTGCAGACATGAAGCTGTTCTATACTTGTTTTCTTGTTACAGTTTTCTAGTTATCGTTTCATAATTAATGTTTTCTAACTACTGTCTTATATTTACTGTTACTGTTTTACTATTTATAGTTACTGGTTAACTATTTATAATTACTGTTTTATAGTTAGACTATTTCAGTTGGCACAAAAACGTAGCATAAACAATATACTGTTTCTGCTGCTTCCTCTGTACTCGACTGAAGAAGCCTACTGTGTAGGCGAAACGTTTCGGAATAAAGATACCTAACTGTTGCACATGTGTCTTACTTATCAACATTATGAGATAAACTACCCCGAATAAGGTGTACTGATTAGCAAATTACCTTCTGTTTTCCTGTGCTTTCTTTGTCAAAGAGGGAGAAGACTTCCTCTGTTTGGGGATCGTAGAAATAATTACCAACAATGCCGTGTGTCTCAGCATACTGGCCCGTTGATAGAGTAGTCCAAGTTGGGTAGGAGAGAGTGGGAAAGAGTGGGTTAGTGAACTTGGCTCTACCTCCTCCTTGCAGGAACTTTGTGAAACCAGGCAGTGCACTTGAGTCTTGTTCTTCCAAGTAATTCCACCTGAACCTACAAAAAAACGTATACTTTTCATGTAAGCATATTTGAAATACTGTACCAAACAAAAACAAAATTTAGGTTAAATCCAGTGTTTTAAAGACGTCTTGATAGACCTCTCTTCCTAAATAATCACAACTGAGAGATGAACACAAGACCACCAATTAACCCCCCCCCCACACACACACACAGGGTTAAAAGACAGAGCACTCCAGTGTGTCTGCGGGAAACTGAATGAAAGAGGGAAGGGCATAGCGTAAGAATAAAGAAATACACATCAGAATGAGAGTAAGGAGTGGGGTTCTGCAAGGCTCAGTATTAAGACCATTAATGTTCCTAATGTAGGTGAACGACT